CGGGCGAGGAGTTAGCGGTCTTGTAAGTGATGCTGGGGCGTGGGGTTAGTGGAGTCTGTGGGAGCTGCCTCCGACCCCGGCATGGGGTACTAGCACCAGATGTCGACAGCAAGGGGCTCCCATTAACTGAACCACTGCCCTACATAAAAATTGGAACAAAGCAAATCAAAAAATAAAAAAGGGAAACACCAGACAAACACAAAGGCAGGCAGGTATAAAACAGAAGGAGAAGCAACAGGAGGGAGAGACAAGTCACAAGAGGAAAGAAAAGCAAAAAAGAGAGAGTTTAGACAAGCACAGTTAGGGGGAGGAGGTTCTTGAGAAATAATTCAACACGAGATGTAAAGAGCTGGAGAACTAAAGTTCTGCGAGCAGTAAATAAGAACAGAAATGATCAGAGCATCGGTAGGACGCAAACTGGCAGACGGCTCCAACAGAAGGGGACACTGTCCGGAGGGAAGGCATCCACATCATACACAGGCTCGACATGCGCCTTACCTGAACTAGGCGGGAGCAGCAAAAAAGCCTATGGGGGTTTTTTTTGCAAATACAATTTTGCAAAACAGCACTCTCTGCTTTGGGGCAGATTTTTGCAGAACTTCACCCGACGGTTGTGAATGCTGATGTTGGGGAGCATTTCTGTGGTCAAAATTGGATTATGTGGAAGGAAGATTTGGGGGCAGACTATTTTTTTTTGTAGTTTTGGGAATGAAATGCATTTTGATTAAATAGCCACTTTCTGAAAAAACAACAACAAAAAGCTTTTTGAATGGGCTTTAACTTGGACAAGAGGGTTCCTTAAAGAAAAACACGTTCACCTTTTCCTCTTTAATATTGCACCTTTGATTTTTGAGTGGTAGAAAAGTCTGGCAGCTTCCTGAGTTACTAATAGTGACATGTGTGAGTGAACTAAGCTACAGCAAGTTAAAAAATGCTGTGAGTGAGAGGAACGGGCCCTTGTTTTGGCATTTCTATTTACGTTCTCCCAGGGCAGTACATGAATAGCCCTGTGAGCGCGTTTTAAAAATCCCTTAGCCTTTCGTGACCTAACATTTTGAGACCAGTCCTTTAATTTTTAAAGAGCGGCTTTTCCTTCCTATAAAAACGTCAGGTTGTTGCTTGTTGGGCTATCAATCAATGCTTGTTCTGCTCTGCCTGGGTTTTCCAGCACAGTTTTGAGGGCAAGCCCGGCAGTGCTGGGGGCTATCAGCCCAGCGGCTGGATGCAGAGACTATTTTAGCTGTGGTTGCCATGAGTCATGCCACGTCTATCAGCAGAAGAGGCAATACCCGTGTTACCTGGGGGTGCAGAGCAGCCTGGGGTGTCCCTCACTGCAGCCCTGCCCTCCGCAAGCATTGGGGACTGATAAGGCATTTGCTGTTCGTGCTGCTGGCCCAACGACTCACGTCTTTCCTAGCCTGGAAACCAAGTCTTTGCCTTTCTCTTCTTTCATTTTCACCCTCTCGCTTCTCTGGCATCCCCACATTTCAGCCTTACTCTCTGCCACAGACCCATATTCCCATCCCAGGCACCTGCCCCCCGGCCGAGCTGCCTCCCATCACCTGCCTCCCCACGGTGATGGAGATGGTGACCACCACCCGGCGACCTACGATGTCCCAACATCCAGGGGAAGATGCCCAGCCTTTTCCAAGGGCTTAAGACTTAGCACCTCAAAATTACAATACTTACAAAAGAAAGCAGAACTAAATTGTTTTGATAAGTATTGAGCTGCCTAAAAATGTTTTTTTTTTTTTTGTGAGATTTTCAAACTTCTTTTACCCAGGACCCATTCAGGAAATGATCTTGATTGTAAAAAAAAACGGTGAGGTCTTTTTTCAAAATGTCCAACAAGCTCCCTCGTGCTGAAACATTTTGAAATTCCAAGAAGTTTCATCTCATTTAAAAAATGCTTTCCCCAGATTCATCGTGAAATGGGATTTATATTTAACAATTCACCTGCACTGAAAAGGAAACAGTGAAATAATTCACAGAAGATGCATAACATTTCTATGGGGGTCAAACAAAGCATTGTGAGTTAACCCACAATGAAATGTTCATGGCCTGGTTTTCTTGTCTCCTCTTTTTGCATTAAAAAAAAACTCCAAAGAACTTCTTTTTGAACTAAACCTGTCTTGATTTTTGGCTTGGCTCTAGCTGGAACAAAGCCACCTTGTTGGCAGGAAGCTCAAGTCAGCCTCTCTTTTTGATATATGCAGGGGCCTCCAGGGACCTGGTGAAACATGCTGGGCCAGGGCTCCTGGGAAAAGCTGCATCTCCCAAGGAGAGGGAGAGACTAACAAAGAAAATACTCGAGAGTTAACAAACACCTTGTTATCGAGCCAAAATAACGCAGGAAAGGGACTGTCAGAGCTTCTCGCAGACACCTGTTAAGACAAGGGCTCTTCAGCTCACTGGGACAGAAGTGATATGCTGGCTTGGCTATTTTTTTTTTAACCTGTTTGGTTTTTTTTTTTCATGGGATGTATTAGCAGATAACATGCGAGTGGATAAAATACATGGACATGGAAACAACAGGATTTCTCTGCCTTGCCTTACTAAACCCACACAGGACGTGGGTGACAATACAGACTTCACTGGAACTGGGGAACAGGTTTTTACAAGGCAGCTGATGCTCTAATGCTGATTGCCTACTAACTATGGGAAGGTTTCAGTTTTTTTAATTAAAACGTACGTGATATTTAAAGTTCTGGTAAGCTGAGCGTGCAAGAAAGGAGAGACATCATACTAATCTTCCTGCCTCTCAAAGCAGAGGGAGAAATCAAGAAACGGAAAGAAAAACTCATCTGAAAAACCAGGTGAAGGCCAGTCGGGGACTGCAGCAACGGAAAAGACCTGTTGGGCTGCAGCTCCCGCTTGCTATGGCCGCACATAGTCCAGGGTGCATCAGACCTTAAACCGATGTCACATCTGCTCCCAGCAGAGAACGACTGTGCAAAGCACGTCCCATGCCCTGGGTGTCTCCAGGGCTGCGGGGCAGCAGCCCCTGAGCACTCACTGCAGCACACAGCCTCTGATGCTGCAGCCTGGATGCTGCTGAGGACCATGCAGGGAGAGAGAAAGGCACTGGACAGGGTAAGGAGACAAAAAGCCGCTTCGTTTTGCAGCTAGTGGGACACTACGAAACCTCTTCATTTAAATCCTTCCCCTGGGCGCTAATTCGTGCTGAACACAGGATTTCCTTCTGCTCCCCACGAGCTGATGTTGCTGCAGGGGGTCAGGGCTGACAGCATCGCTCAGCCTCTCCACACCGCCAGCCGGCTGCAAATTTAGGGAGGTTTTGGAGAATGGCCAGAGCCTCCCTCTCGGCACAGCGGCTGTGCATTACTTGGAGATGTTTGCAGACAACATGCTGGCCCAGGGCCGAGCTCTCTCCCCTTCCGCCCAGGTCCTGCCTTCTCCTACATTCCTCCTCTCCCTTACCGCGATTTCTCCTCCCAGCTAGAGAACACATTTGAAGATTGATTTGACACTAGGGAAAAAAGACTTTTTCCTCAATTTTCAGAAAATTAACCTGTTCCACAACACAGGACAGCTCTGAAGCCCACGCAACAGCAGTTGGAAAATCTTGCAAATATGAGCAAACCCTGCTGAAACCCCGGCTCTGGCTGTCTGGAGTCCCTATACTGTATTACATTGGCTTGTACTGCCATGGCAAGGATTTCTTTGGCAACCACCAAATGTGTGTGCATGGGGCAGCAGTAGGTGCTGGATTAACACAGCTGGCAGGGGAACGGTTCAGCTCAGTTGCCCAGGTCCCACGCCACGCTGCCAGCCTGCCTTGGCTCAGACACACTTTCTCCACCAGCACCAAGAGCTGCCGGTTCTCAGGTCTCCCAGGCTGCTCTGCTGAAACCATGAGCAAGGGTGTCCTTGGCCCTGGGGTCTCTGCGAGATGCCTTGAGTCACTCACTGTAGGTGGCTACTAAAGAGCCATCAAGTGACATTTCAATCCCTGTTTTGGATGTGAAGCACCAAGCAGGATCTCAATGGCTTTATCTCCTACTGCCTGGCCTTCCTTCCCCATTCTGTCTCTTTTATTTTGAGCAAAACATGGAAAAGGTGCGTGCACTCCTGGAAGCCCTTAGGACTCTTTTCCCACCCTGCATCTCCTCACCTGTCTGTGTGGACCTTGTTCTGGCCCTCCGTTGGGCGAGGTGGGCCTGCTCTGATCAGCAGACTTGGGCTGAGAACGGTCCCGGCTGCCATAGCGGTCGCAGGAGTAGAAGCGCTGCTTTTCGGAGGAGGAGGAAGAGTGCTGCTTCCTCTCTTGGGACCGGCCGCGTTCCTGCTTCTTGTCCTTGCAGGAAGACTCACCAGACTGGGCCACTGAAAGAGGAACGTTGGTTGGGGATCACCAACACGGAAGGAACTCCCAAGTGTGGGGCAGGGAGGTGCTTCCATGCAGACGGGACCCCAAATCACATCAGACAACTGCTGTGCATCCTGAAGGGAGGAGAACAAGGGACAAATCCTTGTTTGCAAAGCACTTACCAGCTTCTCCATCGGCCAGCTGATGGGGGGACCTGTCCAAGGACTTCTGCTTCTTCTCTTTCCGCCGGTGGCAGCGGTGGTGATGGTGGTGGTGCCCTTGCTCTGGTGGCATGCGCTCCAAGGAGTACTCGTAGAGGTGCATGGCATGAGGACGCTGCGGGGTCAGCGTGGAGACGGAGCGCTTCATGGGGCTCGTGTCCGGGATGGGCTGCAAGGCAGACGGAGGGACACGGAGCAGGGTGAGGGCAGGCGCTGCACCCTGCTCAGCTGCTCGGTTCCCAGCATGGGGAGGGTTTTACAGTAAGAGAAAGGGGCAAGGAGGGGAAGGAGAAAAATGGTTAATTGGATATAATTGGAATGGGCAGAAGGACTTGTGGAATGGTAGATTGAGTGCTAGATTTGAGGAGCAAATGTGATCTCCGTTTGCTGAAATGGGCTTTACTTTTAGCAGAGTGCCAATCCACAGGTACCATGGGCGCAGAGCGATATGCAGCACTTCACACCAAACACAGCGTCACAGGAGTCAACAGATTAGCAGGGGCATAGGGAAGCACAGTAGCCAAGCATCTCACAAAGATAATTCTCCAAGACTAGTTTCACCCAAAGCTGCTTCAGGGCATGTGGTCATCCCAAAGCAACCCCAAAGAGGAAAGCATGAAAGTGTTGCTGGGCATCATACGGAGAGGGAAAAAAATCAGGAATAAGTAGGCAAAGTACAGGCCAAGCCACCGAGAAATTACTTCTATCTCCCTGCAATTGAAGACGACTCCCATCAAAGATTTAAACCTCTCTTGTCCCACCATCACTCCTTGAAGCCCTTGTGGCTGTGACAAGCAGGATAGCATGTATGTTCTGCAATTCTACCAGGACATCTCCAAAAATGACTACTTGGGTTTGCTATTGCTGTTTTCAAATCATTTGTGGCCAAACGTCTGGGCACTGAGCGCAGTAACACAGCCTCCCTCGGGCATTGCTGGACCCTGTCCCTGTCCCAGTGGCAGCGCCAGCCTCTGTTCCCTTCCCTTTAGGTTCAAAACCTTACAAAGATGGTCTGTAGAAACCAAGACAAGTGGACTGCAGGACAGCTATTCTCACAGCCTTTCCCTTCCCTACTACCCAGTCACCAGGTATAAAGCTCAGCAAACGAGGGCAATTCCCCTGTGTCCTTCTCTTTCACTCTGCTGGCCTCCAGCTGGCTCTGTGGTGGAGACAGGGCTTCATCCATCCTCTGGAGGCTTCCCTGGGTCTACCACTGCATCAGAGCTGCGTGGCAAAGGAAAGACCTCGGAGCACGGCGGTCCAGCCTGATGGTGAGGGAGCTCAGGATGTCCTCTGGTCCCTCAGCTTTACGCTTGTTTGCATTCATAATCCAATATGTGCCTCCAACAACACTTCTCACAGAACATTTACTTTGTTCACTGTAACCTTTCCAAAGAGCTCTGTATTATTTTTACCGTCTATGCTATTTTGTTTGCTTACCCTGAAATTCAGATCTCTGCTGCCCCGTGATATTTACACAATGCAAAGCCAGTTGTTTCGCAGCTCTGCTCGTTATTTTGAGTGGAAAGAACCACTCTCCCTCCCAGCAGGCTGTCACGGGTGGATTATCTTGCATGCAAAGATGCAGTCTGGGCTGAATTTTTGTTTGGTGCTCTCTCTCTTGCTAGGCAGTTCCCCAAATTTTGGTGCTTCCCACTGGAGGGCAAGGTGGAGTGCTAGAGCTGGAAGGTTTGTCAGAGACACAAGGCAGAAACTGCTGGGGTGGGGGAGCGGTGGGGGATGCCTGCGGCATCGGTGCATCCCCAGGGTCTGCACCAGTTCAGCCAGCAGGATCATGTTGTGCTGCATTTGTCTCCTCCTGTGTCCCTTGCTGCGTGCACTTTCTATGGGCAAGAAATTATACTGGAGAGCTTCATGTTTGTCCTCCTTGCTTCCTGTTGAGCCTGAAGATGGAGGAGGGCAGAGAGGTCCATAAACTGGACAGTCAGATTCAGGCATTGACTGAGGTGGGCAAAAAAGTGAAAAGTGAAAATACTTCCCACTAAAAACACTTATTCAGATTTCCAAAATCCATTTAGGAGCTGCCAGGAAGAAGACGACAGATTTTTCCAACAAAAAGCCATCCAAATCCATAAGAAATTAACATTTCTCTTTGGATTTTGGACCTGATTCTGTGCTTATTCCAGGGACAGAAGTCCCCACTGACACTAATGGGAAGTGGCACAGCAATGAATACTCTTTCCATAAATCCTGACAATGCTCTCGTTACGTTAACGGGGCATGCACAGACTCCCCACAAGCCTCGGGAGGCTATACCATAACCCTTCAGAGAGTTACTAATTGCTTCTTCATTACCAAAGCAATTGTTTTCACTTCCTAAATTCCTGTGCAACAAGGCATACAAAAACAAACAAGTAAGCAAAACAAACAAACAGAAAGTCCCTGCTATTACAGCGTGCGGCGTGCAATTGTGGATCGAGGGAACTGCAGCAAAGTGGAAAGAGATAGCGGCTGCGTCGGTGCAACATTGGACTCCAAATGAGAAGGGAAAAAAGTAAAGGGTTAAGGAAGGTTAATTACTTCTTAACATGAATTTAATAGGATACAACTTAGTGCAAACTACATACTGCTAGGTAACTCCCAGGTGACCGTGCTTTGCTCCTCTGCAAACAATTCGGACAAGATGAGAGACATTATTTGAAGCAGCCCCACAGTACAGCCATTGTCAGACATCACGGCAGATGTGCAGCAGACACGATGACGACAAGGAAGGGGAGGTGATGGGGGAGGAGGACAGCAAAGAGGGAGGGAGGAGGTGAGATTGAAAGCATAGGAAGGGTTTGGTTTTTTTTAAAAAGTGGAACATAAAAAGACAGAGGAATGACAGGCAAACAGAAAGGGAGACATCCAGAAACAGAAAGCATTGCAAATAAGAGTTATAAAGAACTCAAAGTTTGGGGGGAGCAGAAGCAGCACGTGAGAAGGAGGGTGGAGGGCATGGAGGGGGAAGACACACACAGAAAGTACATCAGTTATTCAGCTGAAGCTACAACCACCAAAACATTGTATTATTAAATGAGGTTAGATCCACTCAGATATTACGGGCCTGATTCATAACGAGATTAGACAGCTTTCCCGTGGGGCAGCTGTGCCCTGGGGAACACGTACCCTGCTTTTGCGAGAGACGCTCACTTCTGCAAATATCTGACTGCAGTGGAGAGGAGCTTCCTAAGGAAAGGCTCGTGCTGCTGGCATTGCTGCTGCCAACTGCGTTGCTTTGGAAGGAAAGATGCGACTTGTGGTCTAGAATAAAGGACAACTTTGTTCTGGGAAGGGGGAAGGGAGGGAGTATGGGTTTGCTTTGGGGTCTGTTTCTTTTATTGAGCATTGTTGAGTAGTGTTCCTGATAACGCAGAGAATCCCAGCTCTCATACAAAGGCTGCAGTTTCTGAAGTCAGCTGGGAAATTTGCTAGCCGATGAAGTGTAGCTTGTGCCAGCCTGAGCACGTTAGCAAAAAGATTGTATCTGTTGGAGCTATTGCTGTGTATGCAATACACAGGCTTTTAGTTTTAGGGTGCAGCATCTCTTTCACGTGCTGCTTCCCATGGAGAACAATGGAAACAGCCCACGACCACGGGCTGCTCACTCCCAACTGTATGAATCAGGCCCTTTGAATGAGAGAGACACAACTATGAGTGGGAAGATGTTCTGACACACAGGAGGCAGGACGGTGGCTGGAGAGCATCCAGGACAACAAGCTAGCAATGAACATGTGAAATGCCCAAAAATTATCTGTGAAAACCATGACATCCTACGCACTAAGTAGCATCCACAAGTTGCTGTAAAAGTCAACTCTAGCGATGAGATTTCTTTACAAGAAGTTAAACAAGGAAAATCTTCAATGACATTTTACTGGCCAAAGTCACAATACAGTATATGCTAAATACTGTGGGAAGAGAAAAAAAACCAGGCAGGATGCTTAGTGTCTCAATGCAGCCTTCCAGGCACAGGCTCCCTGGTATTTTCGGTACCTACTACATTCATCAAAGAAAATCAGAGCACATCTCCAGCTTTCTTTATGGCTAGGGCACAGGAGCATGCCTTGACTGTCTGTCTGGCTAGATGGCACGCAGCTGTCAATGGGAAACATATGCCTTCCTGGAATACGGGCTGGCAAACAGTATTGTCCCCAGTTAATCAGAATAGACACTCTTGGGAAGGTAGTCACCAGTTAGCTTCCCAGACAGAGGGATTTCTCTGGGTTGCTTTTTGCTGCAACCAGCGATGAGTAAAATTGGGGACAGTGCTGTGTCTACACATGAATACCTGCCACCCAAGCAGAAAGGCTGGTTACCTGTCTCCAGGTTCAGCAAACATCTTTTAAAACAAATATTCACAAGCAACTTCCAACAACACGGCAAGCAGAGAGAAGATACAAAGTTCCTGACCCACTCTCAGTCTCCCACCACCAGTAAAGTCTCCCTCGCTCACCTGAGTTTCAGCGGCCAGGCGTGGCATGGAAGCCGCCCGCCCCTGGCTCTCCAGGCCTGGTTGGTGTTCTCCGTTGGCAAGTGTGGGGCTGATTTCCCTCATTTCTACCACCTGATCGAAACAAGAAATGGTTTCAAGTAGCAAGAACATGAACATCAGCTTTGAAGCCATCATCTGAGCAGGCTTCTGCTAAGTTTGATTTAATTGTGAAGAGATGCTAGTATGGGAGAGAGAGTAAATTAAGAGCTGTGAAGTGCCCAGGTTACTCTATCTACAGTGCTGTCTTGAACAAGGACAATAGTGGACCAAGCTCTTCTGCCAGCCATGGCAATGAGCCCCAGCTGTGACCTGTGAAACCCCTCATCTGAGTTTGTACACTGATGACAATGGGATTGGGACAATGGGACAACTAGGAAGAGATAACCTTAAATAACCTATCGCAGCAGACACATAATTCCATGAAAAGTATGTCCACATGTTCAGCTATCAGACTGTAGAAGCTACCAGACTGTAGAAACTACCAGATTTGGTTTTTCTCCACAATGTTCAAGGAAACTTGGGGTTGTAAGAGACAGAACAATGCTTGTCTCAAGGGACAGATCTACTGTCTACTGCATTTCACCCTGTCTTCACCTGTTTTTTCTAAACATTTTCTAACATTTCTAAAAATCTACTGCATTTCTAAAATCTACTGCATCTCACCCTGTCTCCACATCTTCACCCTGTTTGCTCACCCGTTCAATGGGAATTTCTTCTGAGTGGCCTCGTTCAAAAGCTGGTGTCCTGGTTTCATAAAACACGTCCTGGGTGCGTTGGGTCCCCCAAGAACTGGATTCTTTGATCCCACCCTCTGGGGCTGGTCTGTCAGAAGGAAAAGAGGAAAAAAGATTAACTCTCTTGCAAAGAGCTTTTGCTGACCTTATTGTGATGAAGGTAAACCACTGGGATACCCCTCTGAGGTTTCACTTGTGAAACTAGTTGCAGGATAGGCACAGCTGCTGGTGAGGCTATAAGGTCCCCTGGGTTTTGCCAGGGCCACTTCCTATACAGCAACAAGGAAATCAAACCAGCCATCATATTTTTTTCAGTAACTAAGGAAAACAACTTCTGCAGCTTAAGTTCTGATGTAGAAGAATGAAGAATTTTGGGAGTTCAGGCAAATTATGCAAGACCAGTTAGACATTGGTCAAACACATCTGTGGTGATGCTAAAGTACATTCACTGAATGTGCACTGGTACAGGTGGCCCTGGATTTCACTGTTGATCTGATGTTGGTTTCCCCATCGGGGTTATTTGGGACATCTAAATTTCAGATGTCTATCATGAAAAATCCATAGCGCTTGTGACCCAGAGGAAAGTCACCTGAAGAAGAGTAGGAAACAGAGAATTGGTTAGGGATCACTGTTACTATAACTGTTTGGTAAGCTCTCTGTGGAGGTATTATTTTGCCCAAAGAGAAGGAGTCAGATTGTGTCCTGGAAAGTCTCAAGAAGCTCTTGCTGTTACCAAGTGCCATGAGCTCAAGGGACGACTTTGTTCCCAAGGACCTTTTGACTCCCAAGAATTCACTGCAATGGTGGTTGGTGGGTTAAGGTTTGTTTGGTTGTTTTGCAATGATCCCAAATTCCTGGAGCAAACTCCCACTTACAACTAGCCACAACGGAAAGTTCTCCAATTAAGATTCAGAAGAGACCGTTAAAAAAACATAAAGCTCTGGAGAACCCAACGCTACCACCACATGGATAACTGCACCTGAGGCAGCAGTGGGAAGCAGAGCCACACGGAGGCATCTTGGTAGCCACCGGTGGGAAATTGTCCCAGCCATGGCGTGAAGAGGCTGCTGGTCTTGGTGTCACCAGCTGTCCAGAGCAACTGAACCAGCAGTGGTTGAGGTTGATGCATACACCCAGTGTGCCCCTTCTCTGCATTACAGCTTTGGCGGGGAGGTCACGGGATACTCACAACGCGCCCCCGTTGTTGAGTGAGGCTGAGCTTTTCTGGCGAAGGAACGCCTTTGCGTTGTTGAATGCTGCCGGCTGGGTTTGCTCCAAAGTGGCCTTCAGAGGGTGGAAGAGTGACACCGGTCCGGGCTGCAAAGCACAAGGAAAGGTTGTCACGGACAGAGCTGTGTATGGAGAGGATGGGCTGCGGTGCTTTTCCCAGTTAATAAAAAGTCCACTTTCTCACCCTGAGAGATCAGCCCAGCAGAAAGCACACCCCAGCCTTCCCATAGCTGTAAGAGGCTCTGAAGGGCACTTGCTGCCCTCAGCTTTGCACAAGCCAATCCCCCTTCCCTCTACCAAAGCATTCCCCTGGTCACCAGAGCGCAGCAGGGATTTCATACAGACGTGACCAAAGGGGCTGTGTAATTCAGGTGGCTTGCTGTGACACCGGGTCTGCTGTAGCCTCCCATCTGTGGGACAGACAGACCGGCTGGAGATCAGCTGGATGATCATCCTGAAATCAATAGGTATTTGTCCTATCGGAAACCATTGGGGTTTCAATCCCAAGCCAGTTTTGTGGAAATATTTTCAAGAAATTGTAAAAATCTTCAAATCTATTAAAGCCAAAATGATTTTGACTAATTCCCATTTTCAAAAGTAATTTAAACATTTTATAGCCAAAGTATCATCAGCTTTCAATAATTCTTTGGTGTCCCAAAGAAATCTTTTGGTGTTCCCCAGTCCCTAGGCCACTTCTGAAAATAGGACTTAAACTGCCAAATGTCACCTGACATTTCTTGGAAAAGATCTTTCCAGACCTACTGGAAAAGGCAACTGCAACAATTTTTTTTTTATTTTTATTTTTTGAAAGGGAGAGACTTTCAGGACAGGTTTCCATTTTTGAGACAGCGTTTTCAAATCCTGTCTGGAGAAGCATCCAGACTTTCTGGCTGAAATGTGCCAGTGACTCTCGTGAGAGCTGCCCAGCGCTGGAGGAGAGGCTGCCCAAGAGGGAGGACCGAGGAGGACACCTTTGGGCTCCGTACCTGGCACAGGCCTCCAGGCGGCTGGTGGCCTTGGTCCCTGCTGTTCTTATTCTGCTTGTAGAAGTCGAATATCATCAGCGCAGCGTAGACCTTCCCCACAGTCATCTCATCAGCTGTCAGAGGATGGTGAAACGCAGCAGAGACATTCAGGTGAGGAACGGGAAAGGATCAGGAGAAGAGAAAAGTAAGTCAAAGAGCACAAGAAGTAACAACAAATGGGTGTGAAACACAAGGAAAGAAGAGGCGACATTAGAATGACAAGGCAAAACGGACACAGAAAAGTGGGGGAAAGAAAAAAAGACCAAGAAAAGGTTACAACAGACTTCTTCAGATCTTTGCCTGTTGCTGCCTTTCACATCTGAGGAGGATGGCCCCTCTCTCTAGCTCTCTGTGGCAAACATTCACAGAGACCATGTAGAAAAAAAACAGGCAGGAAAACTCTGTGGCATTGTAAGCATTGCTGACAGAAGAATTGCTAAATTAATACCAGATCCACAGCCAGCTTTTTATCAACAAAGAAGCCTTATTCCTATTTCCTTGAATTACAGTCAACCGGGGCATAATGGGCTATATACATTTAAAGTATTTCATTTTTCCAGATGTCTTTTTTCACCCTTACAGCTATTCTACCAGCCCTTCCCTGCAGGGCAATGGAGCACTTACCGTAGAACAAAGAGTTAAAGCAGCAGATATACAGGCATCAAGAGAGGAGGGGAGGAAAAGACTTAAGCAGTCTCTACCCACTGATTTGCACCTCCTCAGTTCCGTCATTTTTCTTAATTAACAATGCCTTTATTGCTCTGCACTGTTTCTCGTCAATCAGAATCCAGAGCCCTTGTCTGGGCCAATCAAGATAATGGCAAACTTTCCATTTTCTCAGCACATTTGCTCAGGACATCACCAAGTAACAGAAATGCCTTTAGCCCCAAAATACCTCAATTCTGATTCTGTAAGGTCTCAGCAAACTTTAATTTTCTTCTCCTGGTTTTCTGGAGCCCAGTTGGTAGAAATTGCTCTCCCATCCTGCAAGGCGCAGGCTGGAGGCAGACAAAGCTATGAAAAAGCTCTGGAAGAGGCCACACAGGGCATCTGTCTCTTCTTGGCACGGTTTGTTGTGGGTTTTTTTTTTTTCCCTAAGTACAGGAAATCTACTGTAGCATAATGAAATACATGCCTAGATGTGACCTCAACTTCTCTACTCCACGGCATAGAGGCTGTGAACCCTTTGGAGAGGATACCTAGAAGCTGAACTGCACTCGGTTTCTTTGCTGCATCCTCTACGTGACCGTGCACCTAGATGGGGCTAGGGACAGAGCAGGCAAGGAGGGAGAAACCTGTTCTGGCCTTCTTAGGCGGCTGGGATGGGTTGGGTGCTCGCTGATGAACCACTTACGTTTGTGAGGAGGCACCAGCAAATCCAGAGCCTTCTGGGACAGATTGGGCCAGACCAGTGAGATCTCCTTTCTCAACTCAGCATCACACTGGTGCTGTTTAACACCCCCTGCAGAAAGGGAGGGGAGAGAAAGAGGCACACGAAGAAGAGTGAAAATCCTTGTCCTGTCAGCGCGTACCACTATTCGCACAGCAAGCACAGGAGAAGGCATTTCCCCCGCTCCCATCTCTTGAGAAGAGCAAGCCGGTGCCAGCTGCAGCAGATGTTGCAAAGGGAACTGGTGATCTCCTCCGTGACAAAAGCGCATGAACTCAGCAGGACCACCATCGCTTCAACCTGCTGACCCTCTGCTGTTGCTTGGGGCTTAAACTGAAGCTCAGACTTATTCTACCTAAGTGCAGGTGCCTGCTCATTTGGGGTGCTGGATAGCATCAGCAGAAAGCAGCAGCACCTCCCAGGTGTGGTGCAAAGGACCTGGTCTGAGGTGCTGGACTATGAGCAATGCCATGACTGATTACAAACCCTCTCCACCAACAACTCTTCCCGAAGTCTTTGGCAACGAGACATAAGCACGCTGCTCCGTATCAGCAGCATCAAATAGCAGCTATATCACAAGGTAAAACAGAAAGAGCCGGCATTATTCAAATGGCCAAAGTGAGGTCTTAATACACAAGTGGAAAGTGATTAAAGTATATATGTAAGCCAACAGGCCAGCTCCCAAATGAATGCACCGCACAGTAGGCAATTAAGTAGTTCATCTGAATGACAGAGATTATTTTTCTAAGAGAAAAGAAATGGGAGGAGGCTCTGGGTACTCTGCTACATGGTGGTTTGAACTCCCACAAGGAAACTCATTAGGGAGGGTTTATTAAGGGCCTGTTAGTGCCACTAAAGACTCAATTAAATGTAGCACACGAAACCTATTCAAACGAAGCATATAACAACAGAGCAGGTCAAAAACTCACAACCCACAGCAGATATAAACCTTAGAAAGAATCCAGCGCTATCAGCTGAGCTCTCTTCTCTGGTTCCCCTCCAGTGTGCGGCCGAAGAAAAGGGGGGGGGGAGCCTTTGCCAGTTGGAAAAGGCTGTTTGAATTACCCTTGCTGACAGGTAATTCGAAGCCTAAAATAATACAAACTCTCAGCACCCTTATCTAGAGGTTATTACTGAAATAAGGCGCTGGCCCCTAAAATCCCAGGCAGTCCTAAATGCATCCTTAGAAATGAGTGTCTGATGCTTGGTGTCATTCCCCAGGGGAGTCCCAGTGACCTCAAAATTTTGTCTTCATCCAGCAGTGCCCACCCAAAGCACCAAAGACAATTTAAGCAACATATGAGGGAGGTAATTAATACAGAGAGGTTGAACGGCTGGACTAAAACCGCTTAGGAAAAGCACAGTATCCTAACCCTGCCCTGCCCTTTGCTTGTAAGAGCACTGTTACCTCCTGTTAGCTTTTAAATTAGGTATAAAAGTGCTTTGGCCAGTCATGCCTTGATTCTGACCCCAGCCAGCCTGATTAAATAGTGTAACGACCCAGAGAAAAGGCCAATGTATTTTATTACATTGCAATGCTTAATTGGGACGTCAAGTAAACACCTGATGAAATACTTGAATAATTAAATTTTATCTCAAGGCAGAATGTGGTTCAAGGCACTTGGAGTCATTGCTTCGCTGCCAGCAGGCAACAATTGGAGAGGAAGGGCTGTTTTTCCCTCATGTTGGAATAGTTAAGAAAAGAGGCGTGGAAACTCTCATTTCTGTTATGCAGCAATGAGTACACGCACAGGGCTTCTCGTCTGAGAGCTCTCAAGTGGGATGGCCAAAGCTCTCCACATCCCATCGACAGGGATGCCAGTACGCAGCCACCCCAAAGGCAGAATGATGCTCAGGACCCCTCTGTTGCCTGTTCCTGAGGCTCCCTCGTCCTCGGGCGCTGGCAGATGGCAGGCAGGCAACAGGAAAACGGGATTTCCACCTGGGGCAGGATTTTGGTGGTTTCAGGAGGACACCAAGCCAACAGACAAGTTGGGGTTTGAGCCCACACGTGCTGTCAGACATCACCTCCCTCTCACCTGAGGCGATTTTGATTTCTAGGGCAGTGCGGATCAAGGCCATCAGCGTGGACGTGAAGTGGACGGTTAAATCTTCAGGCGATATCGGCATGTTCATCCGCACCAGGCGCTGGAGAGAGAAATTCAGTGGCTGTGAGCGCGGGTCAGGATTCCTCCCCCCCCCTTTCCTCCCCCCCCGCGAGCCCTTAGAAATAGCCAGATTACAAACATGTGTTCACCTTTTGTGCACTGAGCTAAAATGCATCTTCTCCATATAGACATCAACTCCTTTTCAGGAGCAGCTCTGAGCTGTAACGGTGGCTTTAGTGGTTAAACAGTTGATTTGCCAGCATTTGTACTGCAATCCTACAAAGACAGTTCTTCTGAAAAAAAGTCAGTTTGAATGCCCTCATCCCATTTCAGAGCCTGGTACCCTGCTCCTGACAGTCTCCAACTATGTCTGCAGCCTGCAGACATGTGGCTGGTGCCCATCACCCCTGCCAAAGCAGCATCCTCAGGAGATATAAACCATGAAGCCACCTCCACCATCCTTTCCTACATCAGTTACCTTCACCTATATTCTGGTTCTACAAGAGGAGCAAAAGCAACAAATGGGACCTGGCACCCTTGAATGAAGTAAGATGATGGAAGATTTGCATCCACCATCCGAGGATCCAAGGATGCGGCTCCATCCAGAAAGTGACTGCGCCTCTTCCAGCTGTGCAGTGGCATCCCCCTTGCCAGTGAGCGGGATGTGAGGAAGGCACTTTTGGTGGCGATGACAAGAGGAGGCGTGTGAGTGCTTTGCACGGGAGCTGTGCAGTCTCTGGATTGGTCCCGTGATGATGCATTTTGTACGCAGCCTGAAGCACACTAGAAAATAAGGCTGGTGAGCCCTGCGGTGTGGCTCAAGTGTTCTGGGGCAATTTGGGACTGGCTGCTAATAACTAAAGGTGTGCAATATCCTTTTTATTGGAGACGCTTGGATTCTGTCTCTTACCTCCTTTCCCCATGGGCATCCCAGGAGCTCTGAAGGTCTTCTCCGTTCCTTCCAGTCAATAAGCTACACAGCTCCATCTAGCCCTCACCCATAGGGGAAGAGGCTGGATTAACATGAGCAGGATTATAATTTCCCCCAATTATGTTCTTTCAGTCCGAACATGGAATAGTTCCTCAGGATCATTGTCTTCCAGGATCTTCAGACCTGGTAGCAACTCCTTCCCCATCACCAGTCAGGACCATCTCTGATATGGCAAATTCATCATTCTTGTAGGCAATGAAGTACCTGAGATTGCTTCGGAAAGCTGTGGCTCCCTTAACACTGCTGGCAGCAGAGCATGTAAATGCAGACGGGGAGAAGCACTCTCCATAACCTTAGCAACGCATTTAAAGGATGGATTTCTTCTCCTTCGGCAATCTAATGATTTCTCAGCTCCTCGGCTTTCACAAGCTGTTTAGAAACTTCCTTGGCTGGAGCCATATCAGACAAGCCTGTGTTTCCGTTCTCCGAGGGTACGTGCAACCCGAGGAAGTCACTGGGTGTTAATCTGTCCGAGCAGAGCCTCGCAGCAGCCTGTAAAACCAAGTGTTAGCTTGGCCTGGGCCCCTTGCTCGGGAGGGAATTTCATCCACATCTGAAAGCTGCTTAGGCTGTTATTTTGATCCCTATCGCTGTACAGAAACCGTCTCTTTGTTTAACAACAGCCCAACATGCTGCTAAAGAAATTTAAGCGCAGTCAGCTGCGGGCTGCGGACTCACCGAGGCAGAGCGCACAGACGAGGCCAGATCCCACTTCGGCTCTGTCCACTATACTGCTGTGCAACGTCAAGGGCTGCGAATATTTTTCAGAGGTGCAGCTTTGCTGGTGCAATCCTCCCTTCCGATGCCACTGCAGTGGCTCAGGGGTGCCTCCTGCAACCCCGCTCACCCTCCTTGGGGCCTGGGGAAGCTGTGCAGTAGAAGCACCGCTGCTCATGGGCAGTTTTTGCTGGTGAAGGGAAACGTGGTGTAGCCGAGAGCAGGGACCTGCCTGGAGACTCAGGCGAGGCGAGAGGCAGAGCGCTCTGGGTGAGCCCTGACTCCTACTCCTGTGCTCTACCCAAAACCAAGCCAAGACTGGTGAATGAAGACTTGGTCCCCCTTTCCATCACTGGGTTAGCCTCCCTGCTTAGAGAGATCTCCGACACACAGTTTCCCAGAGGTATGAACTGAGCTGCCTTAGGCATTCTGGTGCCCTGAGAGAGGACGGACTCCAGCCCTGGGACCTTCTGCCAGCCAGGGAGAAAACATCCCTCCAGGGCGGACGTGTGCTGGTGCTGAGGGAGGGCACAGGGCACTGGTCCAGTGCAAAACACCTGCTTCTGAAGTGAGCTGACATTCAGAGGAGCCGAGACCTCCATACTTATCTTATTACACGTCTTCGGATCTCATTGCAGGCTGCAGGGACAAGAGGCTCGTGTAACAACCTACCCTGTCTCCTAAAGTCTGAGACAAACCATTGTAATCTCAAAGAGCTTTCTTAAAGCATGCCCAGAGGTTATCTTCCACGTCTGACAAGCCTCAGAGATAGGGAAATCAAAGCCAAGACTCTCCTCCCTTCATAATTCAACGACAGTATCAAATGCTGGCAACGCCACAACTATTTTTTCTGTTCACTTATGTCAAGTGAAACAGGATTTTAATTCAGAGTTCTGCCCTCAGCACACAAAAAGTTACAACAAAATTATTATATCCATGTGAGCGCACAGTTACCACTTACAGAGTCCCACTGAATCCCAGTTCGGTGGGAGAGAGAGTTAGGGGATGGAGAGAGAAAGAAGATGCATGGAAGCGAAGAACAAGCAGGTGAGAAATAATTCCTCTCAGGAGAGCTCTATCCTCACAAAAACTAGAGCCAAAAGACATTTTGGGAATGAGACATCCCAGGTCCCCCAGCTGACTTTCTAGAACAAATTCCCAAAGCGAATGGATGCAGAACACAGGCCACATCACAGCTATACCTAGCAATGCTGTAGGAAGGTCTTTCCTTCTAAATTTTCATCAGGGACAAAGGATTTAGAGGGAAGGAATTTTCCAAGGGAATACACACTTGCAAGAAGGTTGGCTGAGCAAAACTCACGTGCAAGTGCTGAGGAGTGCTGCAAACAGCCACCCGGATGAGTCTCTCCCCAGACCACGTCCCCATGCTACCCTCAGCACTGCCTGGTCTACAGCATTTTTTCCATCCCAATATGCAAACTGGTCAAACAGGCCAATCCCGACACCTTTAGGCCATTGCAATTTCCGACCTGATAAACCATCAGCCAACAGAGAGTGTGGTCGTTGTGCAAGTCCTCGTGCATCTCACCGCCCCTAGCTGGGGACCGCTGGCTCTAGCGGCACGTCAGGAGAGGGGAGGCTTGCTCTGGCTTGGGTGGGATGTCTCCCTTTCTCCTCTTTATTGGGGTGGCAAACCGGGATGCATCTCCCCGTCTTCTCCTGGGGCAGGTTGTGGGCAGTCAGTTGAGGAGCACTTGCATTGCAAGGTGGGTTGCAAGTTGCACCTACCAGGGCAGAGCAGCTGCCCATTTCTTAGCCAAAAAAGCCATTAAATGGCACAGAAGTGCCTTATACCCTGCTGCAGCTAAGCCGAACATGTTTTGGCTTTAAGCCATCCCCGATCCCTCCCGATATCAGTGAAAACTGCTTTCTTGGAAGCGCAAATTGAGAAAATATGTTGCTCAAATGGATACACCACATTTCTGGGAGAGCTCAAAAATGCTGAAGATGAAGCAGTTGGGAGAAAGGAATTGATTCATCTTTGATTCAAAATAGCTTTGCCACCACACCGTGTGGGGGAGGCAAGGGAGAAAGCAGTTTGGTGAGACATGCTCACACCATGTCCCCGCACCGCCACTGACACCCAGAGGAGCCAAGGAGTCAGCCAGATATTGGCACAGCCGCCCCCAAGGAGGGACTTGGCACCCGAACTTCCCTGCACATCGTCTGGTGCATTTTCCTAGCGCCAGAAACGCAACCGAAAGGCTGAAACTGCAAACAAAAAGAAATCTTCATTTCCCCCCCCAATATTATAAAACAACCTTAACGTAAAAATGTTTCTTTCCAACATGTGCAGGAGCGAGAGATTTCAATCCTTTCAAATCTACTTTCTAATTTTACTTATATTTTAATTCATTTACATTTCTATAGGACCCATTTAAAAGGAACTGGAATCCAACTGAAATTGGTAAAATTTCTCAAAGTCAAATATTCTGATTGACCCAAAATTGCTCTTTGAAAAATTAATCAAGAACTTTTGATTTTCATCCCTAGCCAGCAGAGAAGAGAAAATCTCAATGTTTTTCACACAGCATGGGCAACAACATTGTTAAAAATTGTTAAAACATTGTTAAAAAAACCGGAACCAGCTGTTTAGCCTGTATGCAGTTTAGAGTAAAATTAACATCTCCCCACATTTTTGCTGTTTCTTCTGGCTGAAGTTGCACTTCAAGGCCATGGGTTACCAGTTCCTCATGCTTTGGAATACGATGCAAAAATTTGATTTTTAAAAAAAAATTTGATTTGGATAATTTTCCATCTTTTTAGACCCCAGAAGGAAAACATACGAGCCTGCCGATGCAGATGGCAGGGGACCCGATGCTTCCTCGCACTTGTAAAAAGCTTACATCACTTGGGGTGTCCTGGGAATCGCCAGCCACAAACCAGGGGTGTTCAGGTGAATTAATAACTGGGAGCAGGAAAAAAAGGTAAAAATCCCTCCCAGGTGCCCAGCCCTGGCAGGAAAGGGCTTCCCTGCTCTCCACGCTGCTCCTCTTCCTCCCCTCGTCTCCAATCTCCTCCAAGAGCCTTTGAGGAAAAGCAGCCGGCAGCAGATGGAGTCCCCGCTCCTATTTCCCAAGCTCGCTTGGGGAACCTTCCTCCAGCCCTTGATTTTAATTAGGCAGTTTTGGAGGCATCTCCCGAGCGAGGGCAAGGGGAGCTCGTTAATGCTTCTGCAGGAAAAGGCCCCAGAGGCAGGAGCTGCGATATTGTCTCTAGAGTCTCCTAATTAACTCTGTGCAGATAACGAGGTAGTAACCGATTACAGCCGGGTTAGGGAAGCAACGCTTTTTGCTCCGGTTACTTGTGTG